GAAGCGCGGAAATGAGGCCAGCGCTGCAGCGGGAGCACGATTCGGAACGAGCGGTAGCCCGAAAATGAGGCCAGCGCTTTAGCGAGAGCAGCATTTTGATAACAACAACGAAAATCCGTTTCCCAAGAATCCTGTGTAAAAAAACCGTACGCGGAGGGGGTCCGGCCATTTCCCAGACGCCACCAGGGGAGAGAGGAGAGTAGTATTCATATTGTTGAATTGCAAGAAGAAGGAGGAGGAGGAGGAGGAGGAGGAGGAGGAGGACGACGACGACGAGGGCGATGAGGTTCTGTACTCCTTCTCGCTGACATAACATATCTCTCAAGGCGGCGTCGGAGTGCCCACCGAGAGGTGGTTCCCTGCAGAAAGCGACACTCGTTCCCGTCAGTTGAATGATGCACGGCTGCGCCGCCTCCGATGTACTGCCAGTTCCTCACATCATCCTGGTTGGCAAAAGGGATTCCCTGCCCACCCATCCTGAAGGCCTAGAGGGCTCCTGCCCACCCACCAAGACGGGCAAGAGGGAGGGCCACGAGGGCGCTGAGATGCCACAGCGAGATCGAGACGCGAATGGATAGTAACATGCCACCGCACCTCGAGACTCCGTGGCGTCCAGCTCGACCTAGCGGGACAAAAGGGGGCACCTGGAGGGGGCGTTGAAGCAGATCCAGGCACAGATGAATTGGCGGGGAGGAGGAGGAGGAGGAGGAGGAGGAGGAGGAGGAGGAGGAGGAGGAGGAGGAGGAGGCAGGGATGGAGGGCACCAAGGGCGCAGCAGCTGGAGGCCGCGCGAGGCGGTGGCCACTGACGCCACCGCCCGTGGCAGCGGCTGGGCCATAGCCAGCCTGCCACGTGCGCACTGTGCCCCATCAGCTGAGGACCGAGCAATTGAAGCCATGATAGGCTCTGCTCAACTTCTGGCCTCGAACCCCCCAGTGCCTACGCATTCCTCTGGCACCTGCATAGATCTGGTGCTGGCGCCCAATCACCAGGAGGTGCAGCCGGTTCATGTATCGGAGGCGCCTGGCGTTTTTTCCGATCATGGCCTTGTGGTGTGGCCAATGCCTGTCTCATGTCCGCCACGCTGTAACAGCACGGTTAAGACACGGGGCAGAATCGGACCGAGATAAATCGAAGATCTCTAAAATCCCGGGGTTCTGGAGGATGGATCGGGCGCTGCGGCCGTTCTAAACGCGAGCCCCGGAGACTCTGGGAGCGTTCTGGGAGAACCTAGAAATCCGCCGACCCTTCGGCGTGTGGAGAGCCTGTCCTGAAGCTCGATGCTGCCCCGTGAGAGCCTCGCGACTGGGCCTTCGAGAACTCTCGAAAAGTTGCCTCCGCGCCACGCTTGGCGCGATGGGCAGCGACACTGACGGTGAAAGAGTGTGCCTAGCTCGCAGCAAGCTAGACTCAGGTCGGGCATGTCCCCCTACAGGCGGATCCTGGACGAGAAATGCAAAATACCTTAGAAATGCGCCAAATTATCAAAGATAGGCAAAAAATCGTCCCCGTCTTGTTTCTTGGCTATTTTGGAACACTCCTCCTGTGGAGGGACAGGCCCGACCGAGAGCTGCACACCCGGACCCGAGCTCGGGAGCGCGTCGGCGCAGCCTGCGCCGGCTCCAGCGGGCGGCCCGCGAGGAGCCCCCCGCGCGGCGCTCGCTGCTCGCCAAGAGCCCGAGCCCCCCCCCCCGAGCCCAACCACGCAGGAAGAGGAGGAGGAGGAGGAGGAGGAGGAGGGGGAGGGGGAGGAGGAGGAGGAAGAGGAGGAGGAGGAGGAAGAGGAGGAGGCTCTCGGCAACCAACCAGCGCAGCAGCTGATCCAAAGGCCTCCAGGACAGGTCCCTTCGCCACTGCAGGGGCCCTGGGGCACACAAGTACGGGGGCACAAAGATCGGGACTCCCCCCTCTGTTTTCCCATGCTTCCTGGGTGTCTGTCTTCCCCCCCTCTGCCCATATCTACCCATCTTTTCCTGGGAGCCGACGACTATTTGTGTCTGTGTGTTTTTGTCCATTCCTGAGCCATGCCTGGGCAGGACCTAGCTCAGCAAAGAGAGGGGAGGACATCAGGCGCCCTGCCCGCAGCAGAGCGGGCCCTCCCGGCGACGAACCCGGGGGCACCTGCCGAGGGTCCCGGGACTGCCCCGAGGACGCCCGCACAGAGACGGGCACGAGGCAGGAAAGCCCGACCCTGGGACACGTCAACACCAGCGCCGAGACGGGGTCAATGACGAGGGTCCCAGGCTCACAGTCAAAACGTGTATTGAGGACGGTGATTAGGACGCAAGACCCTTGGAGGCCCAAGTTGGGTCTTTTAGGGCGGCGGGCGACCGGTGATAATGGCGAGGACGGGCCTCAGAGGCAAGGACACAAGGGTACCCTAGATGAACGCGCGCGTCCTTACTAGGCGCGTTGACTGTAGGGCGAGAAGAAGCCTGCACCGCTCTGTCGAACAGAGCGCTACAGCCCCCGTCCGACCCGCGTCCATCCGGTCAAATCGGGACACGCGCACGTCTTTTTGATCGCATCAGCTGTTGCTTGTGCAAAGGGGTCTCTCGACAAGCCTCTTCGCCTACACATCGAAGCCGGACCTGAAGAGCATCCTCGAGAAAGCCTGCCTTCAATCCGGACAGCGGCCACTCTGAGGTTCTTGAGTTTCCCATCGGGAAGTCCTTGGATGCCGGTTGAAGCCCCAGCCTCGCGGAGGCTGAGCACCTTCGCCACCTTGGTTTGTTCCTCGAGGGAACGAGCCTGGTGCGTAGGAACTCTCTTACTGGCTCCACTAGTAGCGTCCCCCCTAGGTAACGATGGACCTGAGAGTGAACCAGCTGTGGGAGTCTGCATCCTTCCACAGCCACCGTGGCCAAGTGTAGGGTTGGACGCCAGAAGCCCTAACTTGTTCCCAGCGATCGGGAGACCTCTGGACTGCAGGTCCTGGGAGACGACGTCAAACACATACGGCAGGTTCGTGTCGTGCCGACCCCAGCGTTGGTTTTTGACACCGCAGGGATCGTTCAACCTTGAACGATCGGCCGCTGCCGCAACGTCCGATCGTTCAACATCGATCGATTCTGGGTCGCCGGCGGCGTTCAACCTTGAACGCCCGCGCTGGGTCGCCGCTTGTCGACACGACGCGAACCTACCGTAAACAAGCTCCCTACATACGGTGGCCTCACCTCCGACCGAACGAAACGGCACATCGTCGATCACACTCGTGAGGGCAGCCGCCCTACAAGCTGAAAGTCCAACGAAGCACAGTGGCCAGCAGCCATCGGGCCAGCGAGGTGACTCCTGAGCAACCTGCATGACGGCACCGTTCGGCGTCATGCTGCTCTGGCTCGCCCCTCGCAGCGGCACGCGCCCCGGCGAAATGCTACACCGTGCAAAGCAGGCCCGAAGAAGCGACACTGACAAGTCAAGCTGCTCCGCAGCCGCCTCCAGCCCTGCATGGCCGGTGGCTGGCGTGCTCGTAGAACTCTCTGAGATCCAGACACACCGTGCCCAAAGCCAGCCCGAAGGCCTTACGCGCGAGAGCCGCCGTTGCACCGTGAATCCACGGACTCTCTATCGCACGCCGTCGAGGTGCTCGGACCCCAGAAGGAAAAGAAGCGTCTGCCTCCTCCCGGGACGCACAACACTGATGTCTGGTGCGGCTCCGCACGCGAGCCATGACCGACAGGTCTCGCTCCCCCTGGGGGCCTTGAACAATCAAACACAAAAAGACCAGGAGCAGAGATTCCAGAGCGAGGGTCCCTCTCCCACGCCGTGAGGATGTCAGCGAACTCTTGGACCAAACGCGCAGGAAGTTGCAAAAAAAGCCTTGGGCGAAACGAATCACACCCCAGACTGGTAGCAAGCGGGAACGTCTCGGCTGCCACCGATACCTGCTCGAACCGGATGGGCGGCAAGAGATCTTCACATTCCTACGCGCACGGAGGCGCCTCCGAGGCTTGGGTCCCTGTGGACCATATCGGCATCCAACTGTGAAGGATCTGCTGCAACGCTTGACTTCCTACCAGAGGGATAGCGTCCCCCTCTTCGACAGTATCGGACATGACAGGCTCAGGGGGGGCTGAGGGGCCCTTGGAATAACGATGGGCGACCTGACCACCCTTGACGACAAACGACTACGCCCAAACTTTCCATCTCTGGCGCACGGCTCAGCCGCTTCCTCGATGATCCTGCGAAGAACTTCCGATTGCAGAATGTGAACCAACTCAGCCAGCTGGGATCCAACCAGCATGCCTGGAAAGAGGGTCGTCGTGGTAAAAGGAGCAAGGGGAAGGAGGCGGAGGAGGACGGCGGAAGCAGAGGACCGGGGGAGGAGGAAGAAGACGGATGTTGCCGACGGAGGGGGGAAGGAGGAAACGGAAACCTCCTCCCCCATTTCCCCATCCTCCCCTCACCCTTTTTCTCCTCCTCCCCCCCAGCCATCCCTCCTTCACAACGGAGGCCAGGACCCCCATCCCCAAGACCAGCCTCTCATCCTGAGTCGTTTTTGGACGGCCCTGGGGCCAAACCTCGACGAAAACATCCGTCGTGAGTCATCGCGACGCGAGGGTGACAGGGTACATCCTCCTCCCTCATCCCTTCTCAAGGTCCAGAGTCCAGCAAGGCATGATGGTGCAAGCCCGACTTGTCTGGCTGATGCTCCGGGGAGGCCTGTGCTCAGGGGAGGCTGCAGCAACCAGACCTGCAGGGTGGGCCCCTTCCACTGTTGCAGTGCACTTCAGCTCCGGCTTCGGCTTCAGCTCTGGGCGCACCGGGCAGAGCCTTCAGACCAGCTTGCCCGAGTCGGTTGTCCCGCTCGCACGGGAGCTCATCCCCCTCCCCTCCTCGCCCTCCCTTCCTCGTCCTCCCTCCTCGTCCTCCCTCCTCCCTCCTCCCTCCCTCCCCTCCCCCCTCCCTCCTCCCTCCTCCCTCGCCCTCCCTCCCTCGTCCTCCCTCCCTCGTCCTCCCTCCTCCCCCGCTCTCGCCACGGCCGCCCCCCGAACGCCCGCCTGGACCGTGCGCACGGCCGCGCTGGGCGCGGCGGCGGACTGGCGCAGGGGCGGCGCGTGCGCGTGCATGTCGCGGCCTCGGCTCGTCTTCGCCGCCGCCGCCGCCGCCCGCCGCCCGCCGCCCGCCGCCCGCAGCCCGCCGCCGCCGCCGCAGCCCGCCGCCGCCGCCGCCGCCGCCGCCGCCGCCGCCGCCGCCGCCGCCGCCGTCGTCGTCGTCGTCGTCGTCGTCGTCGTCGTCGTCGTCGTCGTCGTCGTCGTCGTCGTCGTCGTCGTCGTCGTCGTCGTCGTCGTCGACCCAGCGGGCCCAGCGAAATGCCCATCCGGCGGCCGCTGGATGGGTGGAATCTTGCTGGGTAGGGTGGGCGGGAGTACAGCATGTTTCGACCTGAATTGGAAAGGACACGGTTTGGCCGAGTGTCCAAAGCTGCCTTTTGGCGCAGACCCAAAATCGTGATCGGCCAATGGTAGGAGGCCCAGGGAAGAAACACATTATCCTGGCGAAGGGCCCAACCATATGCAGTTGTGAGTACCGCCCTTGTGGGTATCGCCTTCGGTGGATCTCCTCATGGGGCAACGAAGCGTGTAAAGGGCGTGCCGAAATGGAGCGGGGCCGCATGCGGGCGCTGCCATTGGGGCCTTCGGTGGCGCTCCATATAGGGCCACGAAACGTGTGAGGTGTGCCAAAAAATGGAGCGGGGCCGGCATGCGAACCCTGTCACTGGGGCCTTAGGTGGAGCTCCCTATGGGGCCACGAAACGCGTGAGGGGCTTGCTGGAAGTAGAGAGGGGACGCATGCGAGCGTCGCAACTGGGGCCTTCGGTAGAGCTCCGTATGGGGCCACGAAACGCGTGAGGAATGTGCCGAAATTGGCAGTGGGAGACGCATGTGGTCACAGCCACTGGGGCATCCGATGGAGCTCCCTGTGGGGCCACGAAACGCTGTACTAGGTGACACAGGCACATGGAATCACAGCAACTGCAGCTTTCTGTGGAGCTCCCTGTGGGGCCACGAAGCGCCGTACTGGGTGGCGCGGGACGCATGTGGTCACAGCTACTTGGGCCTTCGGTGGAGCTCCCTGTGGGGCCACGAATCGCCGTACTGCGTGGCGCGGGACGCATGTGGTCACAACCACTGGGGCCTTCGGTGGAGCCCCCTATGGCGGCCACGAAGAGCCGTACTGGGCATGTGGTCACAGCCACTGGGGCCTTCGGTGGAGCTCCCTGTGGGCCACGAAGCGCCGTACTGGGTGGCGCGGGACGCATGTGGTCACAGCCTCTGGGGGCATTCGGTGGAGCTTCCTATGGGGCCACGAAGCGCCATACTGGAATGCGTGGGACGCATGTGGCCACAGCCACTGAGGCCTTTGGAGAAGCTCCCTGTGGGGCCACGAAGCGCCGCACTGGGTTGCGTGGGACGCATGTGGTCACAGCCACTGGGGCCTTCGGTGGAGCTCCCTAAGAAGGCTACGAAGCGCCGCACTGGGTTGCGTGGGACGCATGTGGTCACAGCCACTGGGGCCTTCTGTGGAGCTCCCTTTGGGGCCACGAAAAACCGTAATGGTTGGCGCGAGACGCATATGGTCATAGCCACTGGGGCCTTCGATGGGGCCACGAAACGCCGTACTGGGTGGTGCGGGACGCATGTGGTCACAGCCACTAAGGCCTTCGGTGGAGCTCCCCATGGGGCCGCGAAGCGCCGTACTGGGTTGCGCGAGACGCATGTGGTCACAGCCACTGGGCCCTCTTATGGAGCTTCCTGTGGGGCCACGAGGCGCCGTACTGGGTGGCGAGGGACGCATGCGGTCACAGCTACTGGGGTCTTCGGTGGAGCTCCCTGTTGGGCCACGAAGCGCCGTACTGGGTGGTGCTGGACGCATGTGGTCACGGGCCTTCGATGGAGCTCCCTGTGGGGCCACGAAGCGCCGTACTGTGTGGTGCGGGACGCATGTGGTCACAGCCACTAGGGCCTTCGGTGGAGCTCCCCATGGGACCGCGAAGCGCCGTACTGGGTGGCGCGAGACGCATGTGGTCACAGCCACTGGGCCCTCTTATAGAGCTTCCTGTGGGGCCACGAGGCGCCGTACTGGGTGGCGAGGGACGCATGTGGTCACAGCCTCTGGGGGCATTCGGTGGAGCTTCCTATGGGGCCACGAAGCGCCATACTGGAATGCGTGGGACGCATGTGGCCACAGCCACTGAGGCCTTTGGAGAAGCTCCCTGTGGGGCCACGAAGCTACTGGGGTCTTCGGTGGAGCTCCCTGTGGGGCCACGAAGCGCCGTACTGGGTGGTGCTGGACGCATGTGGTCACGGGCCTTCGATGGAGCTCCCTGTGGGGCCACGAAGCGCCGTACTGTGTGGCGCGGGACGCATGTGGTCACAGCCACTGGGCCCTCTTATGAAGCTTCCTGTGGGGCCACGAGGTGCCGTACTGGGTTGCGTAGGACGCATGTGGTCACAACCACTGGGGCCTTCGGTGGAGCTCCTAATGGGGCCACGAGGCACCGTGCTGGGTTGCGTGGGGCGCATGTAGTCACAGCAACCGGGGCCTTCGGTGGAGCTCCCTGTGGGGTCACGAAACGCTGTACTTTTGGCGGAGGGCAGAGACAGGGATGGGAGGAGAGAGGTGGAAGGAAGAGAGGAGAGGAGAGGAGACGCGGGGCGCTGTCCCTTCAAAACGAGAACCCAACGCCACAGGATGGTTGGGAACAAAACGAAAATGATCCAAGAGACTGCCGAAACAATGTGTTCGTCGACCCCAGCTGCGATTGGTGCCCCATGGTGCCCAATTTCGATGTTTATGAAGGACGATGACACGTGAGGCACCCCGACACACAAATCTTCACCTGTGCCGCTCGGGGAGCTTTCGTAGACTTCTGCATGTGCCGCAACGCTGCAGTGCTTGCGCCATCTTCTATCCAGAAAGATGTTGGTCCTTCTATGGTTGATGCCACGTGATTAGCGCCCCACGGCACGCCCGAACTGGACCAAATCGCAACATCGGATCGGGCCGGAGACGGATCGCACCGCGTCCGAATCGGCGCGGGTTAGAATCGGGCTCCGCACACTGGAATCGCAAAGATGCTTTCCCAGGAAGTCGTCTCCCACTTTCTTTCTCGGTCTCTCGGCCGCTCTTTCTCCATCGCTCTCCTGCGGCCCCTTCCTTTTCTCGCTCTCGCTCTCTCTCTCTCTCTCTCTATTGCCTCCTTCTCTCGTCCCTGCCCCCCCCCTCAGTCAACTCCACTTCCACATTTTCCCACCCCCACATCCTCCCAATATCCCCGTCGCCAACTTCATGTGCTCGTGCCCCTCCCCCTCTCCCTTTCCCTGCCTCTATCTCTCTCTCTCTCTCGCTCTGTCCCGCCGTGCCACCCGCCGCCGAATGCCACCCACGGCGCCACCGTTGCCGCCGCAGCCGCCGTCGCCGTCGTCCTCACCGTCGTCGTCGTCGTCGCCATCGTCACCGTCACCGAGGTCGCCATCGCCGTCGTCCCCTCCGTTGCCGTCGCCGTCGTCGTCACCGTCATCGTCGCCGTCGCCATCGTCGTCGCCACCGTCGTCGTCTCGCTTTCGACGTCGTCGACGCGGTCGCCATCGTCGTCGCCACCGTCGTCGTCGCCGCCGTCGACGACGCCATCGCCGTCGATGTCCTCGTCATCGCCGTCGACGTCGTCGTCGTCGTCGTCGCCGTGGTCGTCGGCGATGCGGTCGCCTTCGTCGTCGCCGCCGCCGTCGCCGTCGCCGTCACCGTCGCCGTCGCCGTCGTCGTCAACATCGTCGTCGTCGTCGATATCGCCGTCGTCGTTGTCGTCGTCGTCGCTGTCGTCGTCGCCGCCGCCGTCGCCGTCGCCGTCGCCGTAGTCCTCGCCGCCACCGCCGCCGCCGCCGCCGCCGCCGCCGTCGCCGTGGCCGTGGCCGTGGCCGTGGTCGTCGCCGTGGCCGTCGTGGCGGCCACCCCCGAGGCCCGCGCAGGGCCCGCGAGCGGACAGCTGCGGCGAGGAGCGGCTCGAGAGCGGCGGCGACCTCGGGCGGAGGGCGGCGGTGGCCGCCAAATGTGCAGAGGCGACTACACCCTGCGAAATGCTTAAGAAATCATGGGTTAAGAAATTCATAGTCTCAGAAATGGAATAAAACCCAACATTTCTATTAAAATCTTGGGATTTACATTGAAAAATTAAGAATACTCGAGACTCTGGCCGAAAACTTAAGTTTTCTTAAGCATCGCCTAAGGTGTACGGCTGGAGGGCCCCGAGTCGCCCAAAGATCGGCCCCAAGCGCCCAAGATAGCCCCAAGACCGTCCAGGAAGCCTCCCAAGACGTCCAAGAGGCTCCCTCCAAGAGACCCCCAGGAAGCCCCAAGAGGCCCCCACGAGGCTTCCAAGCGGCCCCTAAGAGCTTCCCAAGAGGCCCACAAACTACCCCCAAGAGGCCCCCAAGAGCGCTCGTCGTCGTCGTCGTCGCCGTCGCCGTCGTCGCCATTCAGGGTCGGCGGCACTGGCCGTAAGGCCTTCGCAATATGCAGAGGCGACTACGGCTGGCGTTGAGAAGATGGCGTGCAACACCCGAAAAGCACGCTGTCCCTGTGAGGCGACGCCCCCGCGAGGGCCCCTTCTGTGCACGCCGTCCGCCTGCAAGGGCCTTCGCCGGACTGCACTGGAGTAGTAAACACACCATGGTGCACATGGCCGTGCTCTCACCCCAGTCACACGGCCAGTGCCCCTTGAACAAAAAAACAGCTACGGTGCACATGGCCGTGCTCCCACTCGTGTCGCACGGCCACGACCCCGTGCAACAGATACACGACGGTGCACATGGCCGTGTTCCCACCCCCATCACACGGCCACGACCCCTTGTAAAAAAAACACGATGGTGCACATGGCCGTGCTGTCACTCCTACCACCCAGCACTTGGTAAAACAGTGAACCATGGTGCACATGGCCATGCGCTCACGCCTGACACGCCAAGGAGATCCCTCCGGATGCACGCGTTCGCTGGCCAACCGCCTGCTCCTCGACCCGCCTCTTCAACCTTGCTGCTGCCAGGGCGCCTCGCTGGGACACTTCTCCCTCGAGAAACGGCACCGCGACAGCCCCAAGACGACCTCCCCAGACTCTGCCCCCTGTGAGGCGCTCCAGACATCCTCGGGGGCGCGCAAACATGGATTAGCGATCCATGGGTTTGGCGCGCGGTCGCCAAATCCATGGATCGGGGGAGGTGCCCTTCCCAAAATGCGGCCGCCCCGTTCGGCGGTGGAAATACGCGATGTCCCATGGAAGAGGGGCCCGTCGCCAATCCTCGCCCACTTGATCCATGGTTGCGATCCCCTGACAACCGCTAAAGAGACGTGCCCAGTTGGATTCCAACGCGGGTCTGTTACTATAGAGAGGGTCATGAAACAAGCGTTGAAACACAGATTGTGCCTTATCTGCGCATATGCGGTCTGGCAAGGCGGGACGGCATCAACGCGATGCCAAGGAGCGTTGTGAAATCGAGCTTTCGGCCTGGAGGCACGCCGCGCACGACTGCCCAGGTCTGGCCCAGCCGAACCCCTCTCGAGAGAGCTCCGCGGAGCCGCCGCGCCCAGGACGGCCCCGGCGAGGCACCCCTCGAAGGGCCCCTGGCCGTCAGCCCCGAGAGGGCGCCCGAGAGGCCCTGCGGAGTGGCCCCCCCAGAAGCCGAGCGTCCAGCGCCCTCGAAAGGGAGGCGCCCGATGGGGCCTCCCAAGAATGATGCACGACCAGGGGGCACGGTGGCGGCATGGGCCGGGAGGCACCAAATCTGCCGACCCCGTCGCCTCGGGAGGGGCGCCGGCGTGCGGAGCTCTGAAAGTCTCTCCGGGCCCTTCCGGGGGAGGCTCCCCCTGGTTCTCGAAGCTCGCGAAGAAACTCCTGCAGGCCTCGCGCGGCAACTTGAGACCCGAGGTACGTCGGATCCTCGTCGGATTGACGTCGGGTTCCCGCCGGATCACGTCGGGTTTGCGTCGGATTCATGTCGGATCCGCGTCGGAATTACGTCAGAGCATCGCCGCGCGAACGTCAACCATACCGCACCTTGCGGAGCGTACCTTCTGGAGCGGACATGTGGACTAGATGATACAAGCCTTGCGCGCCGCGCGAGGCCTCCAGGAGTTTCCTCATAGCCAAATGCGGACTTCGATGCTCCAAATTCTCAAACGTTGTGGGTCCCCTATGGTCTTCAGCCGGGTCCTCTTGGCCGCCACGTTTGCATCCGCATCGAAAATCTGGTCAGGGCAGGTCCGGGGGGCGAATCTTGCGAGCGTGGCCCAAACACGCCCTTGCGTCGTGGGATCAGCACGACGGGACATGTTGGACAATTTTCGGCCTTCTATGGCCATCACGGGGACCCGAACACCGTGGGGGTCCACGCCGTGGAAAAAATCGAGATCGGAGATGTGGGGAGGATATTTTCAACATACACAGACAGCTGGGGCGGTAATTAGAAGGTACGGCTTGCTGACTTAAAACTTAGCAGTCCAGAACCAGGTCTGGCAAACTTGGGCACACGCCGTTCCCTTAATAATTTGCGGCGAACGATTCGCTCCTCCGTTGCGGCAAATCCAGTTGCGCGTCATCCCCGACAGGACGAATTTGCCCGTCCAACGGGGCTCAGGCAACGATAGACAGTCGCGGTGCAGGCTCGCAGGTCGCTCGGGCACGGACTGCGTCGCCTGTAGGCAAGCCGCAGCTCCGCGGCTGAGCTGGCCTGGGCTGAACGCGCAAGAGAAGTCTCCACCGCCCTGAGTGGCATTTGAGCGTCACAAAGAACGTTCAACTCTGGCACCGAGAAACACATATTCAGGGAAACGAGAAATTACATAGACAACAAAAAAAACTGGGAGGTCCGCGCGGATTTCTTGGATCGGCGCTGGGGACCCCTGGCGGCGCCTGCGGCGACGCCCCTGGCGCGCTCACCGCGCTAAGGACGGGGGTGGAGCGCCGATCCGAGAAATCCGCGCGGACGTCCTAGTTCCCAACCCTCCTGCGTTGGGTTCTCGTTTTGAATAGAGCACTGCTCGCGCGTCCCCTTCCCACCCCCTCCCGTCCCTCTCTTCCCCCCTGCCTTTTGCCTTGCTCGTCGCTGCGTGTCAGCTGGGGGGCTGCGATCTGTGAAACTGTCGCCACTTTCGAGGGCTGCTGGGGGGCCCAGCGCAGTGTGCACCCGCGGCGGACTCAAATGGGACCTCGCTATCTCTGGGGGGCTGCGATCTGTGAAACTGTCGCCACTTTCGAGGGCTGCTGGGGGGCCCAGCACAGTGGGTACCCACGGCGAATCCAAGTCAGACCTCGCCATCCCTGGGGGGCTGCGATCTGTGAAACTGTCGCCACTTTCGAGGGCTGCTGGGGGGCCCAGCACAATGGCACCCGCGGCGGACTCAAATGGGACCTCGCTATCTCTGGGGGGCTGCGATCTGTGAAACTGTCGCCACTTTCGAAGGCTGTTGGGGGGCCCAGCACTGTGGCACCCGCGGCGGACTCGAATGGGACCTCGCCGTCCCTGGGGGGCTGCGATCTGTGAAACTGTCGCCACTTTCGAGGCCTGCTGGGGGGCCCAGCACAGTGTGCACCCGCGGCGGACCCAAATGGGACCTCGACATCCCTGGGGGGCTGCGATCTGTGAAACTGTCGCAATGTTCGGGGGCTGTTGGGGGGCCCAGCACTGTGGCACCCGCGGCGGACTCAAATGGGACCTCGCCATCCCTGGGGGGCTGCGATCTGTGAAACTGTCGCCACTTTCGAGGCCCGCTGGGGGGCCCAGCACAATGTGCACCCACGGCGGACTCAAATGGGACCTCGCCATCCCTGGGGGGCTGAGATCTGTGATACTGTCGCCACTTTCGAGGCCTGCTGGGGGGCCCAGCACAGTGGGTACCCACGGCGGACTCAAATGGGACCTCGCTATTTCTGGGGGGCTGCGATCTGTGAAACTGTCGCCACGTTCGATGCCTGCTGGGGGGCCCAGCACAGTGGGCACCCACGGCGGACTCAGATGGGACCTCGCCATCCCTGGGGGGCTGCGATCTGTGAAACTGTCGCCACTTTCGAAGCCTGCTGGGGGGCCCAGCACAGTGGGTACCCACGGCGGATCCAAGTCAGACCTCGCCATCCCTTGGGGGCTGCGATCTGTGAAACTGTCGCCACTTTCGCGGCCTGCTGGGGGGCCCAGCACAGTGACGCCACACGCAGATTCAAATTAGACCTCGCCATCCCTGGGGGGGTGCGATCTGTGATACTGTCGCCACTTTCGAGGCCTGCTTGCGGGGCCCAGCACAGTGACGCCTCCCAAGTAGCTTACACATCAAGTCGATTCTCCATACAAGTTTCGGCCAACTCCTCGTTTCCATTGATACAAATGGGTTGGGTACGTCACATGGTAAAGTGTATGTTTATGTAATTGTTCGCTCCCCTAATACATGCGGATGCCCGCCAGCGCCCCTGGGTAGTGTAAGATGACGGCTAAGAGAACATGCAAAAAGGGAAAGGGAACATCACTGAAATGATACCAAAGGAATATACTGATAACCCAGATCGGAATACAATAGGGATACAACGGGGATACAATCGGAAACCATATGAATCCAGCACACATACGATACCACAGGAATACCATAGGAATACAACCCTAATCCGATAGCACTACAATACACAAGGGATACAAGTGGAATGGGGGGGACGATTGGCATCGGTCCAAGACGGTCCACGGCAAGAGAGACGCCCCCAAGACGCCCCAGAGAGGGTCCCAGGAGGAACCCCAGCAGAACCCCAGCACGCGAAATCTGGTTCGATATATATATATATATATATATATATATTATATATATATATATTCTACATACATACATTACATACATAACATTACATACATACATACATGTGTGTGGATGTGTGTGTGTGTGTGTGCGTGGGGGGGGGGGGGGCGTGGGGGTGTAGGGTATGTGTGTGTTGTGTGCCGTGCGTGCGTGCTGCGTGCGTGCGTATGTTGTGTGTGTGTGTGTGCGTGTGCGT